CTGCAAGGCTGAAGTGAAGCTTCAACCCTGGTGTTTGCCAACATCAGGTGCACCAGGGTTTGCATTTAGCAGGGTTGTGGTTTCGTGGCATTCATGTCTGGTTGGATTTGTTTCTTCTGGGGCACTGCATCCTGCCCTGTATTTTCTTTACACTGCCTGTGGCTTGTGCAAATAGTCTGCTTCATGTTTGTGGAGGCATCTCTGGCTTGGTTTTGTGTCTCTGGAAATGAGGAGTTTGCAGCCCAGGTGTCCTGGGTCTCCAGAAAAGCTTGGAACTCTGCAAATCTGAGCCCTAAAAAAAAAAAAAAAGGAATGCTTTGGCATTTTGCAAATTAAATCTTGATAAGATCAGAGTTTATAACATGCTTGAATTCCTCAGGGAGGTTCTATTTTATATCTAAAACCTCAACATTTTCTAACCTACGTGCAAATTGTGTTTTTAAATATAGGAACAAACAGTTGTATGAAAAAATAAACAAAAAAGGTGTGTACAAACAGACCATTTTCTATAGAAACAAATACTTTTCCATTAGTCTGTGGAATAGGAAGGCAAGAAAATTAAAAGGCTTTTAATCAAGTTGATCTTATCAGGATTTCAGTCTGTCCTTACAGCCTGCATGTTTATTGCCACAGTGGCTCTACTGACAACCTGAGGCTTCAGTTAAGCTTTCCCCTTCCTGCTTTTACCATAGAATTCAAAAATGCAAATTGTTTTTCCATGCAGGAAAGGGAGCTGTTTTGACTGGGTACAAATGTTTGTCTCTTAAACAGATCAGTGTTGGTGTAGCTGCTTAATCTGCTTTGTTTTATCTCTGGGTTTCATTCTCCCTCTTGGTTGAACTGGTGTCCCAGCTGGTAGAGAAGGAAATCCTGCTCCTAAGGCATTTTCCATGGAACTCCAGAAGATGTCCTGCATCTTTTTGAAGGCCTGTGATTAATTGGCAAGATGTAGCAGATACAGTGAAGGACAGATGAGTCTATTGGCAGTGTATAAACCCAGGTTTGAAAGGAAGATTAAGACATGGGCCTTCAAAGCTGGTAACCTCTGTTCCTGCTGTGTTTTGGGAACTATTGCAGTGCCATATCTTGTGTTAGGCAAAATGAGGGTGGGATCTGGATGGAGGAGCACCTATGGAAGTGGTGTTTGATCAGACAGAACACTTCCCTGTATGTGCAGTCTGACCTGCCCAGCACAGTCCTGATTCCCTTCGCTCCTGTTAGATGCTTTTTCCCTAAGCAGTATCCCAAGGACTTCAGCCCAAGAGGCTGGAAATCTTAATGGATAGAAATCTACAGGTAATCTGTCTGCAAGACAAAGAAGCAGGGAACTGAAAAATACTCAGGAGCAAAAATACCCAGGAGCAATGGTGGCAGAGTCGTTTCTTGAAATGATACTAAAACAAGCATCTATTTGTTCCTACCTAAAGCTGCTCCTATCGTGCTCTTGAACTGGGCCATTAGATGAGGTCAGCCAGGGTGCAGGCCCCTGCTCCACAGAAAATGCATTGTCCTGATCACCCACAGGCTTCAGACCTCACATTTTAAGCACAAATTACCTTTTTTTTTGGTTGCCCAGATAATTTTTTAAAACAGAAAGCGAGGCAACGCTTCCTGTGCATCTTACTACTGTTACTACTACCACTAAAAGGAGAATAAAAGTTGACAGCAATGAACTTGCTTTACATTTATGAAAATTTAATGGCTGGTTTTGGAGCTACAGATAGGTGGGATTTGTTATACAAAGTTACCAGAAATCAATCATGAGGTTAATTAGGAAGGAGAAATAGTCATGGCATTGATGAAGCAGCTTCCCTCTGGGTTTTCCCTCCTTATTCCCTGATGCTGGCTGATGTGCCAACTTCCACGGGTGAAATTGTAAGGGCCTGTCACTGCTTTTCCCTGCCCTTCCTTGAAGGCAACTTTTTCACATCAATAATGAGAAACACCATTTCTAGAAATGAGAAAGCCCATGATGAGAAGCAGCTCCCAGCACAGGGCAGGGCTGCACGCGCCGCTCCCCGCGGGGGACTGAAACTGCTTCTCTCTGCACATGAAGTCACCTTTGGGCAAACAGCTGATTTTTGCTAAAGCTTTCTGTCTTGTTCATGTTCTAACTCTTCTCTTCTCTTCTGTCACTGTTGCTTCCCTCCTGGCTCGAGGGCTCCCCGAGATGTGAGAAGACCTAGTTGAGACCTTGCTAAGGAGCTGAACGGAGAGCAGCCGAGCACCAGCCTTAGTTAAACCCTCTGGCTTGGCTCTTCCCAAACATCTCAGGTGCTCCAGACATGCTTGCTTGCTTCTCAGAGGGCTCTGCTGCTTCATTATGTGTCTTCTCTCCCGTGCAACACCACAAATGCCAACAATGTTGTACCTTCAGGAGGTTTAGCTACTGCAAAGGTTTCCATCTGCTCTGGGGATCAAGCGTGTCACACGTACTTCAGTAGCCCAAATAAAGAGTCAAATGGAGCTTCTTGAGCAGTCAACTGAGCCACATGCTTGGTGGCAAGGGGGTCAGCACACATGGATTTCCAGTTTAAAGCCTCATTTCTTTCTTCCTAAGCTGAAAAGTTTTGTGTTAAGTTCATTGAGCCACTTTGTCTGGAAGAAACAACACAAATTCTGTCAGACTTCCAGGCTGCACTGTCAGTTCAGGACCCTCTTGGTGACTGAGGCAGTTGATTTCAGTACTAACTTGTAGATATTCCTACAACCATTTTATCAGGGTCACAATGCCAAGTCTGTGTTGGTTCTCCTGGAGGCTGCAGCAGCAAAGAGGGTGCTCAGAGGTGTGAGTGTTCCTGGGGGTGAGGAGAAGAGTCAAGCAGAGGTTCTGGGGGTTATTGTGCACAGTCATTTTGGGCTTCATCTTTTCACCTCCACGTGCCAATTAAAACACAGAGTGAGATATTCCAAGGAGTTAAAAGCTGAGTGTGTTATGGTTTTGGTGTAGCCAGGTGGGTTTTGTTGTACACATGGATTTGGGATGTCCCCACTGAAATTGTTCTGTTTCCAAGCTGAGCAAGAAGTGCTTAGTGGTGGCTTTTCCTTTAGCTGCAGAGGGTTGTTTTAATATTGATTCCTTAAACTTCAAGAGAGTGGATTATCCGTTATCCATGTATCCAGAAGACCATGGCAGTAAATGCTCTGGACGCATCCCACAGCACAAAAGTTTTCAAGCTTCCAGGTGTCCAAACCCACTGCAGTTGCACGTGTTCCTGGAGATGCGATTGATTACAAGAAAACCTGATGTTTTGATTTATGCTTCATGAGCTCCTGTTCTCCCTAACACTGTCTTTCTCTCTCTCTCTCTCTGGCATTTTTTTTTTGTGTGTATCCATTTCTTTTTAGAAAATGAGTGACTTTCCCTCCAGAGAGGATGATGTGGCTGCAGTGCCAGAGAGGAGCAGTGTTAACTCTGACGTGGCGTGGGAGGGCTCAAAGCAGTCGGTAGCTTTTAGTGGGACCCCAGTGCCACCCACCACCTCCCAGCCTTCTTCTCCCAGCCATCACTTCGCTGCTTCTTCCCTAAGCAGTGAGGAGGAGGAGGAGGAAGCAGCTCCCAGCCTCCCCACGAGCGTGGAGGACCTGAGCTGCGGAAAGGGGGTTTGTGCGGATGCGGAGAAGGACTCAGAGCTTGCTGAGCTGGAGGCCCCCACCAGCCCTGCCACCCCTCCCTGGCAGCTCTGGGGAGGAGAGGAGGAGGAGGAGGAGGTGGCAGAGGATGGTGAAGACAGATTTACCTTTAGAAAGCTAAATGGGGAGTGTCCTGAGCCGGCTGTTCCCGCCGGGCTGTCGACACTCATCCGCTGCTTCCAGGTAGTGAGTCCCAGCGCCCGCTCCCCGCACGGCTTGGGAGGGGAACCCCAAAACACTGCAGCAAGCAGATGCCATGGATCCAGAGAGGAATTGTGTTGGCTTGGACTCATGCTTTGGAGCTAATGAGCTGGTTAATCTCCCACAGTCCCACCCAAGCTCCTCTCAATTGATCTTGGCACTAAACACGAGCCCCTTTCAATTTCTCTCTGCATTTAACGCCACAACGTCCTGTGCCTCTTTTTTGATCAAAGCATCCTCCAAAAGGGAAATATTTAGACTCCAAAAGCACATCATTTTAGTTCCTTAAGGTTTTGGCCATCTCCTGCTGTACCAGTGACACAGCAGAGCCATTTGAAGCACTGTCAAATGTGCTTTTGCATCGTCAGCATGGGCTCTGATGGCCCTTCCCGCTCCCTGCCTTGGGAGGTATTTTTGCCTGCTTCAGTGTTGCTGTTCATTGCTTCTGGTGAAGGAGGTGCCCATGTCCCCTGCTAACAGTCACGGTGGCATCTGTCAGGTGTGGGGATGGGGAACAGAAATCAAGCTCTCTGGGAAAACACTGTGGGTCTGAACTAACTCTGTCTTCTTCTGGGTAATTATCAGGTGGTGGAACAACTGATTTCTCTCCCCTTCCCCCCATTCCTCTTTCAAGATCTCATGTTTCTGTTTTGTCTGACATTGATTTAATAAAAGTTAAAAGACCTAGAATCTGATGAGGAATTGTTAATAAGAGTGCACTTGCAGTAAGGGTAAAGCTCCTCAGCTGTGATCAGTTCTTTATCTGCCCAGGGTTTGTGGCAATCTTGGCCTTGTCATCAGCAGATGAGGGTCTGGCAGGCAGCAATGAGCTTCTGGTAATGAGACAGTAAATAATCAGTGGAGAGTTTCTTTGTGATATTGTGACACACTGATTTAAACCCTTAATGCCTCAGTTGGGTTGACCTGAGGGCACCATGATGGGGAAGGGCTGGAGGATTTTTCTCTCTGTTGAATCCTCACTCACCATCTCCATCCTCTGAGCCGTGTGTGTCGTCCCAGAGGCTGAAACCCAAAGCTTTCCAGACTGACCTTGGTTCCCACAGTGCTTTTATCAGATCAGTGTCAGAACCTTTGCCAGCAGCAGGGTCATGATGGGGGAAATGCTAACTGGGTCTTTACAGAGGTGTTTTTAACCTGTCTCACAGCCACCACTAGTGAAGACCCAGACTGTCACCATCTCCGACGTGTCCAGTGCTGTCAAAAGTGAGATTCCCACAAAAGAAGTCCCCATTGTCCACACAGAGACCAAGACCATCACCTACGAAGCTGCACAGGTAAGGTGTGTTCTGATTCATTATCCAAGGGCTTAATTAGACTTGAGGAAGCATTTTGGTTCCAAATCCTCCAGATGAAACAGCAGCATCTGCCTATCTCCAGGCATTGGAGTCACCGTTTGGATCCATAACCAGTGTCATGGATTGTGTTTCCAGGCATTTTTAGAGGAGCAGTGGTTTTATTATCCCTGAAGGGTAATTATTTGTTCAAGGGTGCAAATAGAATTTATCTTCAGCTGCTGGTGGCTTGGAGATGTAGACTGGGCTGTGCAGAGTTAACCTGAGTTGGCCTTTTTTTCTGCAGGAGGTGCCTTTTCATCTTTTCCCCAGCTCTTCTTGCTGTTTATTCCCTCCAAAACTTGGTTTATAAAGGATTTTGGAAAGATTGGCAGATTGTCCTTCAGGTTTCAATCCTGAAAAAGGTGTTGAAAATTAAAAGTATTGTATAAAATGCAACCAGAGTGGGTATCTAGTGATGGGAAGCTAGAAATGTTAGTGGAGTGATATCAACATACCCTGGTATGGTTTCAATGCTGAGGTTAAAATGAATCCTCCATCTGAAATGGGTCATCATCCCTGATGAGGAGAGGCTGGGAGAGCTGGGGCTGCTCAGCTGGAGAGGAGGAGGCTGAGGGGGAATCTGATCAGGGCTGGTCAATATCTACAGGGGGTGGCAGGGGGAAGGGACAGGTTTGTCTCAGGGGTGTCCAGTGACAGGACAAGGGGTAATGGGCACAAACTGGAGCACAGGAGGGTCGAGATAATATGAGGAGAAACTTCTTGACTGTGAGGGTGACAGAGCCCTGGGACAGGCTGCCCAGGGAGGCTGTGGAGTCTCCATTCCTGGAGACATTCCAACCCCACCTGGACATGTTCCTGTGGGATCTGCTCTAGGGGATCCTGCTCTGGCAGGGGTTGGACTGGATGATCTCCAGAGGTCCCTTCCAACCCCACCACTCTGTGCTTCTGTTACTCCAGTTCAGAGTTTGGAGCCTTTGTTAGCTTGTGTTTGTGGTGGCTCTGGTTGTCAGGAGAAGCCTGTGCTCTGGTGCTGCAGTGAGTGACTGGAGGTTTGGTTACACGGAGCCCATGGACCCACACCCCTATAATTTGGGATTCCTGAGGAATCCTGGGGCTGCTCAGCACCTCTCCCAACAGCAGGAGCAGAGGAGGGGTTCAGACAAGCCTGTCCTGGGTGGTGGTGAGCATTGCCCTGTGTCTCAGCCAGGCAGTAGATGAGTAGAGGAGTTTTGCTCCAGTTACTGCTGGTACTGGTTCTAACTGGGAAAGGAGAAGGAAAACTGCGATTGAAGGAAAAGTACATCTGAGGGGCTAGCAGGAACTAGCTGCTTTCTTCAGTCTGTGGAAAATGGTCCCACCTTGTGGTAACTCCAGACATTGTCCCAGGCTGTGCTGGGGATGCTGCCCAGCCTCCCTTGTCAGGCAGACCCGGCTGGGATGGGGGGGCAGCAGGACTTAGGTGGGTTTTTTTAGCAGACCTTGGAAGGTGAACTCATGCAGGATGGGAAGCAGGTAACCAGCTGTAAAATAACTTGATCAAAAATGATCAAAGGGCTGGACCACCTCTCAGGCTGAGAGAGTTGGGGTGTTCAGCCTGGAGAAGAGAAGGCTCCAGGGAGCCCTTAGAGCACCTTCCAGTGCCTGAAGGGGCTCCAGGAAAGCTGGGGAGGGACTTGGGACAAGGGCAGGGAGGGAGAGGACAAGGGGGGATGGATTAAAAGTGGGAGAGGGGAGGTGGAGGTTGGAGATGAGGAGGAAATTGTTGGGTGTGAGGGTGGTGAGAGCCTGGCCCAGGTTGCCCAGGGAAGCTGTGGCTGCCCCATCCCTGGCAGTGTTGAAGGGCAGGTTGGATGGGGCTTGGAGCAACCTGGGCTGGTGGGAGGTGTCCCTGCCCATGCAGGGGGTGGGACTGGATGATCTTTAAGGTCCCTTCCAACCCAAACCACTATGGGATTCTCTGATGCTAAGTTGTTCCTAGCTCAGCAGGGATCTGGACTCAGTTGCCTCTGCAGGGTTTAAAGCACGTGATGTGGTGTCAGGAGGGAGGAAGGGTGACAACTGCCTTCCCAGTGCAGTTGTGTTTTGTGGAGCCAGGTGAAATTCGGGGTAGGTGTTGGCTTTGGTCTCCCTTCATGGTCCAAGTGTGGGGCCTGTCATGGAGGGGCAGGACCAGCCTTGCAGTAGACTCAGATTTGGGTGTATCCCAGCCTGCCTGGTTGGGGGGTGTCAGAGGTCCTCCCTGGGTGTTTCTGAGCACCTTAAGGTCCCCAGGGTTTGTGAAGAGCCTTCAGAGACCTGCCCAGTCCCTGTGCAGCTGGGAACAGCCCTGCTGGCCACGGATCAGCTCCCTCTGTCTCACCATCTACCATGGAGAGGAGTTTCTGTCCTTGGATCGTGTCCTGCTCTGTTGATGTGGAGACCCTGTGTCTGTTCTTGCTGCCTGTGGGGACTGACAGCCTGTCCTTCTGTCCCACAGACAGATGGTGGCAATGGAGATCTAGACCCTGGCATCCTGCTGACTGCTCAGACCATCACTTCAGAAACCACCAGCAGCACCACCACCACCCAGATCACAAAGGTAACAGCCTGGGAATGTGAGAAGCAGCAACAACTGAAACACCAGAATAGAGATGAGTTGAATAATAGGGGGAAAAAAACCTGAAAGCCCAGTTGCCTTCCAAAAAAATGTGATGAATACCTGAAACAAAGCACAAAAAGCCCAGGTTTCCTGTGCTGAAGGAAGAAATGAAGGTGGAAATTGTTGGGTGTGAGGGTGGTGAGAGCCTGGCCCAGGGTGCCCAGGGAAGCTGTGGCTGCCCCATCCCTGGCAGTGTTGAAGGGCAGGTTGGATGGGGCTTGGAGCAACCTGGGCTGGTGGGAGGTGTCCCTGCCCATGCAGGGGGTTGGGGCTGGATAATCTTTAAGGTCCCTTCCCACCCAAAACGTTCTGTGATTCTTTGAGGGCTGTAGATGATGCATTAAGTGTGGTCCAGTCTGGACACAGGCTCTGACTGTCCCGTGGGACACCAGGAAGGACCAGGCTGGGAGCCTGAGCTCTTCCTGCCTCAGGTGCAAGAACATGCGTATTTGACAGGTTTTCTCTGAGCAGTTTCCCCATGATTTTGATACCACCCTGAGGCACTGGTTGGTAACCCTGGTTCTGATACTTCTTTAGACAAGCAGCCCCAGTTGCACTCAGATTCCTCTCAGTTTTAGACTTACAGGCTTTTCTTTCCTTTGATACCAGCCCTGGCAGTGTTGAAGGGCAGGTTGGATGGGGCTTGGAGCAACCTGGGCTGGTGGGAGGTGTCCCTGCCCATGCAGGGGGTTGGGGATGGATAATCTTTAAGGTCCCTTCCCACCCAAAACGTTCTGTGATTCTTTGAGGGCTGTAGATGATGCATTAAGTGTGGTCCAGTCTGGACACAGGCTCTGACTGTCCCGTGGGACACCAGGAAGGACCAGGCTGGGAGCCTGAGCTCTTCCTGCCTCAGGTGCAAGAACATGCATATTTGACAGGTTTTCTCTGAGCAGTTTCCCCATGATTTTGATACCACCCTGAGGCACTGGTTGGTAACCCTGGTTCTGATACTTCTTTAGACAAGCAGCCCCAGTTGCACTCAGATTCCTCTCAGTTTTAGACTTACAGGCTTTTCTTTCCTTTGATACCAGACTGTAAAGGGTGGCATTTCAGAGACACGGATTGAGAAGAGGATTGTCATCACAGGAGATGCAGATGTAGACCATGACCAGGTAGGAGCTTGGGTGTAGCCCAGGAGATCTTCTCAGAGCTGGCATGGACTGGACAGGCTGCCTTTCCTTGGACAACTTGGCCAGAAAACAACCTAGGGAAATATTACTGGGGTAGAAATAAGATTTCAAAACTGATTTCAGGCATCAGTTCCTTTTGGGCAGCATGGAGCTGGGACAGGAAAGCTTCATTCTGCTCTGAGGGTACTGTTGGCAGCAAGTTTTGATTCCAAAATGGTTTTGGACAAATGCAATTAAAAAAAACAACCCACAAGTATATGAAATAAAACATATCCTCAACATTTAGATGATCTGCATTAATCTTCTGGTAACTTTGAAGTCATGTTGGTGCCCTGTGGTGCCAGAAGTCATTTTCTAGCACTCAGCACCTGCATCTCAAGGCCTTGATGGGGAAACCTTTGGATGAGTCAGGCCCCTTGTCCTCCAGCAGGTGTTGGGAGTGATGAGTTTGTCATCAGAGAATTATCCTTGGAGTTTAATTCTAGTTGTAAGTGTCAGGGGGCTGGAGAAATATTCCTGTGACAAGAAGTAGTTAATTAATTCTAACAGAAAATGTCTAGAAGGTCTCTGAAATGTGCTCATCACACTTGGCTGGAAAAAAGCAACAGGACTTGCTTGATTGTTCTACCAGGGGGCAGTGCAGGGACGTGGTGTGTTCTTAGGCAAGAGGATAATAATGTCACCAAACTGTGCAGCTGAAGTGGTTTCACTTCTCTTTTTCCCTCCCCAGAGTTAGAAACAGGCTCTTCTCTCCCCCCCTCACCTCTCCCCAGGACCCCCTGGCATGTTCTGAACCATGTTTCTCTTTCAGGTTCTAGCCCAGGCAATAAAGGCAGCCAAGGAGCAGCACCCAGACATGTCGGTGACCAAAGTGGTTGTGCACCAGGAGACTGAGATTGCAGAGGAGTAGAGAGCCCATGTAAGCAGGGAGACACCCTAGGAGTGAGTGGTGGGTGCTGCTTTCCCCCCACCCTGGGCAGGGGGCTTGGTCTTGGTGCAAGTGAGATTTGGGTAAATATCATCCAAGTTGAAGTAAAACAATTATTGTTTGTTAGGGGGTGAGTCTGGCCAGGCTGGTCCTAATTAAATCATTAAAAGCTGATGAAGAAGTCACAAGATACAGCCTGATCCTCCCCTGGGAGTGAGCCAGAATTGTCCAGGAGAGTCACAAAGTCGTTCTGGTTGGAGAAGAATTTTTAACAGTTTCACAAGACATTGTGGTTGAGCTTTTTTAACTCTCCAAACCTTAAATAAAAAAGCAACAGGATTCCTAAGGGAATTAGGACTTAAAGTCCTTCAGGGATGGTGTTGGTGCCTGGAGGTGGCTCTGAGCCTGGTTTCTCACCTACCAGTGATGGTAACTTACCTTGTGATTCCCAACCACTTCAGGGAAGGGGATGAGAAGTGATGGATCAAAACTGGAGGAGGGGAGATGGAGGTTGGACATGAGGAGGAAATTGTTGGGTGTGAGGGTGGTGAGAGCCTGGCCCAGGTTGCCCAGGGAAGCTGTGGCTGCCCCATCCCTGGCAGTGTTGAAGGGCAGGTTGGATGGGGCTTGGAGCAGCCTGGGCTGGTGGGAGGTGTCCCTGCCCATGCAGGGGGTGGGACTGGATGATCTTTGAGGTCCCTTCCAACCCAAACCATTCCATGATTCCATGAAGCAGGACCCCAGCTGCTGGTAGCCATAACTTCCCAGTCTCTCTCTCCCTAGGGAGTGTTCCTGCCAGGCATGGTGCCAGGAAGAAGAAACCCAGCAAAACTACCAAGAAACTACCTGGAGCACAAAGACCTCGGATTACAAGACTTGACACTCAGAGACATTCATATCATTTATTAGGAGTTGTGCTTTGACATTTTACTTGGGATTTTTTTTTTCCAGACTCCACTGGATCCTATTGGATATAGATTTTTATATATATATATATATAGTGACAAAATTATGCCATATTTCTAACTGTACTGAATATTTTTTACAGGTTGTTTTTTCAATTTTGCATCCCCTCTTCAGCCACAGACCCCAACACACCTCCCAGGGCTCCAAGGGTCACTGTTAGCTTTTTTTTTAAAGTCCTATTCCCTCCTTCTCATCAGGGATAACAGGAGACAAGCCACGAATTCCCAGCACAGGGATCCCTTCAAATCAAGAAGCCCATGGGTCCTTCTGCCAGGAAGAACCAGTTTGCAAACAAAAAGTCAGACTTAGTTTTGTGCAGCGTTTCTGATTGATGATGATGATGATGATGAATTCTATTTTTAGCTCTAGGAAGCTTGAGACTCTGGCCACAATTCCTGGGGTGTGGAGCTGGAGCTGCTGCCTTTGCTCCCAGTTCCCTCCCCACTGGGTTTCAGGCCCCTCCACGTGTGAACACAAGTAGGGTTTTGTGGTGTAGCCTGTGCACAGATCTTCCTAGCTGGCTAGATTTATTCTTCTTATTTTTTTAAGGACTACTGGAAGTTGCTTCAAGTATCTTATACTGTGAATTTTTAGAGCTTTAAGAGGGCTGTGCTAGCACCTCCCCTCCCTCCTGTGTGTCCCTGCTGAGTGCTGCCTGCCCCTGTGTTTGCTAGATGCCATTAAATGAAAACAAAAGCCCTTAGAAGTGTGTGTTGAAGGCTTTTTTAAAATACTTTTTGGACTCTGGGTGCTGTTAAAAGTTAGGCTTGTGCAGCATTCACAGTAGCTGGTTTTGTTTTTTCCTCAGTGTCTTAGTTTTTCACTTGTTTGTGGTCATGATTTTTAAATTAGGGTGTTTGGTTGTATTTTTTTATATATATATATATATAAATCATGGGTTGGGTTTTTTTGTTGTTGTTTTTTTTTTCCCCCCCTCCCCTCACAGTGCTATTTAAAACACATCCCATATATCATCCTGTGATTTAATTTAAAACCCTTTTAGACAATCCTTCCCAGGCCTGTAAGTTGTCTTTGGAGAGGCTGAATAAGAAATCTTAGGTGTCTGGTGTTGCTGGTGGGGGAAGGTGCTGCCACCCCCTCTTCCAGGCTGGCAGAAAGGTCTGTCCTTTGGCTTCATCACCTCCATGCAGGAATTAAATCCCAGGGTTCATGGGGTTTTTTTCAAATTTAGGCTGAGTTTACAGAGCACTGGGGCCAGCTCCAGCATGCTGGGATGACCAGAAAACATCATTTCTGGAGCTGAAGGTGCTTCCCTCTCTGGGGTCCCAAGGGCTGAGCTGCTGCTCTGAGCTTCAGGGGAGTGTTCTAAGCACACCCTGGTCTCACCTTCCAGCTTGCAAATTGAAAAAAGGAAAAGAAAACAAAACAAAGCTTGGCACCAAATCAGCCCAGACATTTGTGATCACTTCAGTGCACTCTGAGGTTGGGATTTCTTCTTTTTTTAAAATAGTTAATATATGAGTGTGGCATGTTGGGAGCTGAGGGCAGGGGAAGGAAAATGGCAATAAAAGGAGCTCTTTGCTAGTTGAAATTGGACATCATGTGTTTCAGGAGTCACTGGGTTTAGCTCAGGCTGCAGCCACTTGCTGTGGAGCTGCCACCAGCCTTTGAGCTACACTAGGCCTGGTGGAGCTTCTCCAGTTCAGGTGCTCAAGCTGTCAGGAGTGATTGGAGACCAGGCTGGAGCTGCTGGGTTTGGCCTTTCTTGGAGCCTTGCTGGGCATGGGGGCCTTGGCAGCCTCCAGCCTTCCCATGCCAGGAGTTCTGGGGGCAGAGGATGTTCCACACTGGGTACTGAGCATCCTACTCCAGGGATTTAGGGAGTCCTGGGCTCCAGAGCTGAAGGGTGGAGATGAAGTCTTCCTGTTTATATCCTGCCCTTCCCTTCCTTCTTCTGCAAGGCAGCTCCTGGGGCTGGGCTGTCTCCTCAACTTAGTTGGGTAATACTTGCCTTAAACACCCCCCCCTGCTGAGCATCCCTCTGGCCATGGCCCTTGGCTGGGAATTGAGGGTTGTTTTGATCACTCAGTCCTTCCTTCTCCCCCTGGAGCAGCTCCCTGAGGAATCCAAGGGGAAGAGGATTTCTGAGCTTCTCTAGACAAAGGCCTGACCCATCAGGATTTGGTCCATAGCACTTCAAGGCAACTTGGCCCTCAGGAGGGTTGAGGGGAAGGTGGTGAGAGGCTGGAGCTTGGTCCTAGGGGGCCTGTTGGGGTGTCCTGAGCACCACGAGTGGGACAGAACCCCCTGAGCAGGGGTTTCCTAGGGTGAGAGCCCAGGTTCCTTTCCCAAAGGATGCCCTCTCCATGGCTGGGTCCCTTCTGAAGGGCCACCAGACAATGACATTTCTTGGTGTTTTTCCCTGGATTTCAGGTGGCTGCTGCCACCTTGTTCACCCTCACACCCCCCTTCCACCTTCTTGTTGCTCCGAGTATTTTTCAACAAGATCTCACCTTATCTGACCTTTGCCATCAGCCTCCTTTGGGATCCCCCCAAGGGAATGTCCAGCTCTGCTGACCAACACATCCTGAGCCCAGGAGCTGGGCAGGAGCAGGAGCAGCCTCCTTGGGAAGAAAAGAGCAGAAGAAACTTCTTCCCTCCACCTTCTGCCCCTTCCACCTCCAACAGGTTGTGGGGTTTTTTTAATATATATATAAACCCTCATCTCTTTGCCTGCTGTTATTTCTAGGGACAAACCAACTAAGTAAGGTCTATTTATATGAATGTTCCCAGCTCTTCCCACTCCACAAATTCACCCAGAGACTGTCTTGATTGTATAATAGACATTATATGGAAGCTATTTATATATGAATGAATGTTTTTATAGCAAGGAAGGCAAGGAGCTCATGTTCTCCTCCATTAAACTGGAATGGCAGCTCTGGTTGCCAGAATCTCTGACCAACACAGAAGTGTTAGCCAAGGACTTGACTGATTTCTGCTTTTAATAAACTGGTTTGCTGATTTCTTTTTTAATTCCCTTCCCCCCCTAATTGTACAATGACCTTAATGTCCCAGCCTTAGTGATGAAACTTGTAAAAAAAAGCAAAAATAAGAAGAAAGAAAAAAAAAAGGAATTAATTTAGTTGAGAAGATGAAGGAGCTTTGTAAAATTTTTTTAAGGCAATTGTGAATTGTCCAGGCTAGTTGTTTCCACCCTTCTTTATATATATAAAAAAAAACAACCCTGAAAATAAAATAGGAACTTTTACAATTGGAAGAAGCTTTATAGCTGGACTAGTTATTTTGGACTTTCATAGTAAATCATAGTAAATGAAAGGGAAAGTTGCTGTAGCTTTTAGCCACCCAAGTGTTCAGTACTGCTTCTTGTATTGCATTTTTCAATAAATTTTCAAACAAAACTGTCTCCCTGACTGTGAAGACCCTTGGTTTTTTTTTTCTTCTTCTCCTCCAGGTCTCTCTCCCCAGCCTGGTTTCCTGGTAATTCGGTTTTTCCAAGCTCAGCCAGACCAGTCCCTGCTGTGTCCCCAGCACTGGTTGTGCCACTGCTGCCACCTGCCCCTCGGTGGCCTCAGGCACTGGAACCAGTTCCCAGTGATGTCCCAGTCCCCAGCAGGGAGCCCCAGAGCCCAAATCTGGGAGGTGTCCCTGCCCATGCAGGGCTTGGATCTAGATGATCTTCAAGGTCCCTTCCAACCCATTCCATGAACTCCCTTTGAGATGAGCTCAGCTGAGGGATTCTGTCTCCTCACCCTGAGCAAATGGGATTGAACTGGAGCAGGGAAAGTGCTCTGACCCAGCTGCTTTGTTTCTTTTCCATCCCATCTCATTTTTCTCTGGCTGCAGCACCTTGAGGAGGGCCAGGAATTCAGAGCAGAAAGCTGATGGGGCAGCTGGGCCACCAGAGAACACAAACCAGTTCAGGCAGCTGGACACTGGGAAATGGATGGGAAGAGCAACCCTGGGTGGCTGCAGTTCCTCCACCTGACCCTGTGCCTCAGTTTCCCCATCACAGGGGAAGGGTCACACAGCCCTCA